CCTCTGTGCTGTGTGACCCTGGGCACGTCACTGACGTCCTCTGTGCTGTGTGACCCTGGGCACGTCACTGACGCACTCTGTGCCCTAGGTTTCCTCCTCTACGAAATGAGGATGATGGTTCCTACCACCCACAGCTACGAAGGTATGAAGAGCTAATGTTTGTAGAGCAGTCAGAACAGTGTCTGAACAAAACAGTCAGTACAGCTAGAAACCCTCTGTGTTTTTCTTTTCAAATTTGGAAACACAGTTTTGTATACAACTGACAACGATTTTGGATTTTTTCCTTAGGTCTCATAGCACTGGGGTCACCGATATGAACCATTTTTAGGTCCTGGGCACCCTCAACAACGATTAATCACTAGCACAGAAATCATATTCATGGCTTCCCTCCTTTAGATCCAGAGTATTATCACACTTTATACATCCAGAGAGTGGTTGGCAGGAGGTGAGCACCAGGAGAATGTGTTGTGAGAGCCAGCAGTTTAGAAGGAAAAATAATTTTTATTCAATTTAAATGAAGAAAATACTAGTTTGCTTGACAAGTTTATAGCCACCTGGAAAAGTACAGGATATGTGTAATAAGTCATTGTAATTTCTTTAATGAAAACCTCCTTAAAATTTTGAAGTGTGCATTCTACATCTTTAATAGAATAAGAAAGCAAAATTGCTCATTTCAGGAAAGGACCCAAATTTGGAGGCTTTTGGATAAAAATGTGAGGTCTCAGAGGGGCTGTCATCACACTCAAACCTTGATTTTCGGGGACATGCTCAGCTCTGCAGTAACATTTACATGTATTTGAAGAACACAGGCCACAAGGGAGGCCACGAAAATCACATTTTCAAGGTTTAACATAAAAGCCGTGTGCCTGGGCAGGCTTTAAAGAGCTACATTACAGTCCTCAATATAATGTTCTTGCATCCTTAACGGTTTATTCCTAAAATGCCGTTCTCCACAGACAAGAGTGACTCTGAGTTACTTTTAAGCAATGCCCCTCAGTTAAATACTGTTCAGTTTTTGGCATTCTGGTTCACATTGGAAATCTCTCTGCGTCTGTGACGGGGGCCAGCGTGGCCTCCCACGTGACCTGGGCTCTAAACCTAGCCGGGGTGGGGGGCTCACCTGAGTGGGTGACCACCACATTAAACTGCAGGAGCTCCGCAGAGTGGACAGTCCAGTCGTGGTGTGATCCGGCCAGCCACTCCATGAGAGGGCCCACGTGCTCTCGGTAGAGGTCCTGGCTGCTGTCAACACTCTCCACGGCAGCCAGCGCGTCCGTGGTCTCCCGGACCTGGAAGGTGCGAGTCGCAGGCTGGGACAATCCCGTTCCTAAGGCTCAAGCCCCTCCCAATGGAGACCCATCTTCCTCATCTGCGAGTGACAGCAACTCTGGCACACGACCGCTAGAACCACCAGGTCACTGTGAGTGTTCACCCGGTGAGGAAGCAGGACAAAACGGACACCTCGGAAGCACAGACTGGGGAGCCAGGATGGCAGGCGCCAGTTTTACAACCTCAATTTCCCTTCGTGTTACATCAATGCCAACCATACAACGAATCACCAAACAGACAAATGTGCATTTCCTAAGAAATTCAGCGGAAATGCCCCCGGGCCTCCTCCAAGAGGTCGCTCTCTCCGAGTCGTCCTTGTGCGCCTTCTGCAGAGTGGAGAGCTGGGGCGCCAGCTGGGGCTCAGTTTACGAAGAAGAAGAGGGAGGAGGTGGTTTTCAGGAACTGAATTGAAGGGACTTAAACTATGTTTGTTGGTCAAACATCATCCTGTGTCCTCCTGCTCACTCTCTACCTGACCAGACCTTCAGATGACAGTGACTCTGCTGCTCTGGGGGATCAGAGGATGAGGAAGACTAGGAGATACAGCCGGAGCCCCTCTAACCTGTGCCCTTCTCCTCGGAGTTCAGAAACGCTAGGAAGTGCTCGAGACACCGGTGCAGCTGCCGGTGCCTGACCCTGTTCTGCAGACTCACCTGTAATCCGACGGCTGCCTAGGCACGCGGACTCAGCTCTTGCTGGTACTTATGGCCCTAGTGTGACATGTCGCCTGCTACGACACATGCCCTTTCGAAAGGTGGTTTTTAAAGAGAGAAATTAAACAAAGTTTAGAAAGGCCTGAGAAAGAGCAGGAGGACAGTGAGCCCCTTCAATACGGAACCGCCCTCTCCATCATGCAGGTCAGCTCACAGATAGGGGTCTGCCCAAGTGCTGTCGAGAGAGAACCAAATGGAAAAACCAAGTTCTCAGTTCTCAGGAAAGAGGCAACACACCTGGGTCTCCGGATGATCCTCGGAGCCCTCGGGGAATTGGCCATCAGAAGATTTTTAAGCCTAAACATAGAGCCAGTGGAACAGAAATAACTTGGTAAAGCTGGGCTGCAATGAAATAGGCAAATTATGATATTATTTTTTCTCCAGACTTTCAGCCGAACGTGCGTGTTTTTAACCACACTCAAACACACAGACTTAAGGGCAGGATGGTCTCATTTCTTGTCTGTTTCTCCGTGGTGGATCCCAAGATTAAGAAGTTGTCTTTACTCTGAGATACTAAAATAAACTGACAGTTGGAGGGGATCTAAAATCCTGTGTACCCACTAAGGCCACTTCATGAATGACTCACTCCCAATGTTCTAATTCTTCCATCTTTGCTAGTCAACCTGAGTCAGGCTGCCTCAGGCTTGGAATTCAAAAGCAGAGGAGATTTACAGACGACAATTCCATTTTGTTCAGAGATGAGCCCCTTCCTGGGCAGAAGCTCCACCACCCACCAGCAAAGCAGGAGAGCTCTCCACCAACCTCACCTTGTCACCAAGGCCCGTGGCACCCGAGAAGGCCATTACGGTCACCAGCACTTTCATGAGCTGCAGGCCGGACCCTCTGCAGTCCTCCTGGCACACTGCAATCAAAGCTTGCACGCAGAGCAGCAGGTGCTCCCCGTAGAGGTGCTGTGAAGAGAGCAGGGGGCACCATCAGCCGCTCACCCCGGGCCACCTCCCACTGCCAACACGAGGGCTCAGACAAGGCCCACCCACATCGAGAGACACAGAGCCATGGAGAGCCATGGGGACTCACGTTGGGCCACGGATTCAAACACACCAACTATGAAGAGGGCATTCTTTTAGACAACAGGGGAAACTGAACGCAGACTGAGAATTAGGAAATTCATGTTAATTTTGTTAAATGCTTAATGGTATTTTAGTTATGTTTTTAAAAAGTTCTTATGTGTCAGCAATACATACTGTAGAATTTACAAGTGAAATGACAGGGCATCTTGGATTTGCTTCAAAAAGCTCCAGCTCTCCCCACTCCACCCACCAAAGTTAAAAAAAAAAAAAAGGTGGCGTGAGGTAATAAAATAAGAGCATGAGAGAGTCGATGATTGTTGACGCTGGCGACGGGTATGTGGAGGTTCTTTCTACTACTCTCTCTGCTTTTGTGCACTTTTGAATATTTCTATAATATTGTTAACAAAAATAAATAAATAATACTAAGCGTTAACAAAAATAAATGGTTCAGAAAATGCTTGCTGACTCATGGGGAGACAACACGGTGACGTCTTGGTGGGTCGATGCAATTGCTCACCCCCAGGGGCTTAAGCCTCATCAACTACAGAACGGGCCAGGCGTGGCAGGGGGCACAGGAGAACTCCTAAGGCTGCCACTATGTTCACCTCTCACGGCGCCCCTCCGACACGTCTACATTACTGTGCTTCACACGGCACAGAGCAAGTTGGGACAGTGGTCATGTGCGCAACTTGCAAATACGACTTGTAAATAAACAAGCACACACATAATGGAGGTATCTGCCTGAACTCTTTTACTAATGGGGGTGTGAGTTCAAAAGAGTCTGGTGATTATCTGGCTAGAAAAAGAATTAGTTCTAAACTCAGAATCAGTCCTAAATCTCCACGACACATTCATAAGTGAGATAAATCATGGAAGTTTAAACAAAAAATTCACACTGATCACAGAAGAGTCTGGTCCACGCATCCCCGGCCCTCCCTGCCGTCACCTCAGGAGACCAGAACCACACGGGGCACACACGTCGCCTGCAGGAGTGGGACACCAGCCCGCTCCACTGGGGGAGCTGGCCGGAGCACTGGGCACCCCTACACCCACGAGAAGCCACAGACCTTCCTTTTCCCACAGCCCCATTTCTTTTAGACCTGGACCGATTGATTGATTTTTTGAGGACAAGATTTTGGCTAATTTTGAAAAGGACCCATAATACATATGTATTTAAGAAGATATTATTTTTCAATTAAAATAAAAGGGAATTCACTTTTTAAGATGGTGCCACTGTTAGCTTTGCTGAGCTGCCTCACGACACACCCACGCACTGTAGTAACTTATGTGTCTATGAGCATCACCTCCTGCTGTGGGTACGGCACCGTCTCTGAGGAAACCAGGCCTTAAGATGGGTAGATTTCTCTATATTTAACCAGAGAATTTCAACTTCTACCTACACACACACAGAGCGAAAAAGAAAAAAAGACACGGTGGGAAACGACGCTCAGTTGTTCTGGCTCCTGAAACAGTGTCATCTGAGATGCCAGGAGTGCACCAGAGAAAGTGCTGGAGACTTTACGTTTCAGTAGTGGCAACGACATGCCTGCACTCTTGGTTTTCTTTAAACAGGAATAAATGAGTTATCCTGATGTCATCCAACAACTTCCTCATTTCAGTTACTTGTCACTAAACAAACATGTTTCAAAGACGAGGATCGAGTTCCCCGAGCTAAGCCGCAGGTGCGAGCTTGGCCGAGACCTGTGATGTCCCTCCCACTCAGCCTGACCCTCGACAGCCAGGCTCCCGGTTCACACACATGCTTAGGAGTCTTTAAATTTCAGTGTGTTATGCACAGCCTATTCTTACAGCCACTGGAGAGTAACTGCAGGAAACATCAACTACCTCCTAAAGGCCATGAGTGAACATGCACGTGAGACACACCCTCCCTGCCACAGAAGAGCAGGAAGGCACGTCAATGCAGAAGCAGAAATGCCTCTGCCAAAACCTGAGCTGTTTGTTTCTTCTGGTTATTTTAAGTCTGTTAAGAAAAGAACAGAATGTGTGTCCTGGGCTTTTGTTAATGACTGGTTCCTGGCCTGGCCAAAGGGCTGGAACACAGCTGGAGAGACGCCTAGGTGTGATGGAACTCTACTACAAAGGTGTCTCTCTGTTTAAAAGATCATTGACTAAGTTCTTCCTTGAAAAAACTAGAAGATGAGGAGCCAAACACATAGTTTGAACTTGGTAGATTAAAGGATTAAATTTTTCTCCAACCAACATGAAGATATGAAAATTACATTTTCTTTGCTACCAAGTTTATAAGATACATATTTAAACACTACACAAATTTCTAAGTTATTCCCTTCTAGAAAAAAAAAAATGCTTCTGTCTCGCAACCCAAGATAGAGGAATCAAAATCAGAACTGCTCGTGGGTAAAAATGCAGAACTTGCACAGATTTGATGATTATGTTAAAAATAAATTTTGGGAAAAGTTGGAATGTGGCTGGAAACACCAAGAACAGACGAGACAGCCCCTTGATACGCCCTCTCTCTGGGCCCTCAGCTCTACCCCGCCCTCTGTAATACAGAAACCGCTTTGCAGGTTTATTACAATGGTTTATTACGACTGAACTGCACACGCTGCTGCTCTGGGGTCAGAGGAAGCACTGTGATGAAGGACCAGACACAGCGTGGAAGCAGAGCCAGTGCCCAGATCAGGGGCTGGTCCCTCCCTCTGGGCCCAGCTTTGTGGCGACAGCAGTCATTGTCAACTATTGAGCTGGGGAAGCACCAGCCTCTGGCTGCGTCCTGAGGCCTGTACCGCCCGGGACAGACAACTGGCTGAGGCAGACCCTTGTTTCTCTGCAGAGAGATATGGAAGGCTGCAATCCAGTGCAAAGGTTTACAGGGCGTAAGCCTGTCATGGCCAAACAAAAGCAAAGTTATTATCTTTTCTTTAATAACAAACAATTATACATTATTCCAAACAACTAAGCCTACCTTCCCAGATTGCTTCAGCTTCAGATGTAATGTATTTACTGCTCAATTTAAAATGACACAAATGTGTAATACCTAAGTAGAGATTCCAATGACAGTCTGCCAAACCATCAGGCTGCCTCTTTTAAGCACGTTATTAGAATGCCAAGTGACGTGGATAAAGAATAAGCTCGTGGTGAAAGCTGACGATGAGCATCTATACTAATCTGATGTGGGAGAACAGATGGATGGGCTGACTCGCACCTTCGTCTCGGGCATCGGGAAGAGGTGGGCTCTGTCAGAGCTGCCAACTGTGCGACCCTCTCTAGGCCCGACACCACGCACAGCAGTGCGGTCTGACAGAACTGTTCTCGATGGACGTGCTCTATTCTGTGCTGTCCCACACAGCAGGCACTGGCTGCAAGTGGCTACTGGGTGCTCGAAAGGCGGCCAGTGTGACTGAGGAACAGCATTTTTAATTTGCTTAATTTTAAGTGGCCACTGTGCTGGACGGAGCAGAATGAGACAGGAAACACGTGGGTCCTCACACAGGAGACCATCAGTGGCAGCGTCCTGGTGACCATGTCGGTCAGGTATCTCTGACAGGGCTGAGGACCTCATGCAGACATAGCCTGGGCGGATTACCAGTATCCGTCAGTAATTATGTGTAGCGGCAGTCGGCAGGGGACACTCCCGTCTGTGTAATGCTGATGGGTTTACTTTACGACGCTCTCGACCTCCCACTCTCTCCCACACTCTTACGTTCTCAGACCCTTGAGAGATGTGAGCCTGGGCCAGCTCTGTGGCGATGACCTTGAGGTGTGGCTGGAGGGCTTCCCTTGGGCAGCCTCGGATGACCGAAGCCAAGATGAGGAGGCTGGAGGGGGAGGGCGACTTTTTCAGCATCGACAAGATCAACTTCAGAAATACTTCAGGGCTGACGAACGTCCCGATGAGCTCTGCAGACCTTGTACACTGGGAGAGAAAGGAAGAGAGCTGAGGGGCTGCCCACACTCCCTCTGGGGTCCCACTGTGTTTCTTTCTGCCCTCATTCTTCTGCGTCTGCCCTGCAAGGCTTCTCACCCACCAGAAACAGTCCTGTATGACAGTCTCTTCCCGGCGTGTGCTCAAAACGCTCATGACAGACGGGTAAGTCCTCTCATGACCCTCGGAACTTCCGTGAGAAGTTCACATCACCTGGATTTTCAGGCAGCGTGGGTCTAGCTTGCCGGGGGGCTAAGTCCTAGCAGGGTTTTCCACCTCACACCCCTCCTCTGCTACCAGTGACCTAGACTCCTTATTAACATATAGTCAAACACACTCGGGCACCTCCATGCTGTGGAATCCTACGTGGCAATAAGAAGGAATGGACTTCTGACGCACACGACGGCTTGGCAGGTCCCAGGGCATTAGGAAGAGGGAGAAAGGCCAACCCCAAGGACCCACACTGTAGGATTCCATTTACACAACACCCTCAAAAGGACATAATTACAGGGACATACTCCACCGTGCCAGGCCACTGTCATGGGCCCCACGCCTCATTCTCTCTGTGCACGTCCAAAGTGGGGTCCACGTGGGTGACCACTGGTCAGCACAGGTGCCAAGAGGCTGAGCACCTGTGACAGTCATAATGAGAAGGGAAGCAGACCTGATGTGTCTGGGAGGCTCACCTGCTTCTGTCCACTCACAAATGGCGGTGCTAATTGCCAGCTGAGTGGTTGGCAGGAGTGAGAAAGGACAAAGAGATGCTGGACGTCAGAAAATGGACAAGGGGCCCTGAACACCAAGGCCGTCAGAGCATCCGCTTGGGCCTCCCCACAGAGCCTGCAGGGCTGGGGAGACTGTCAGAGCCAGGCAGCCCTGGCTGCCTGAGCTAGACTCACAGGGGCAACTCTGCATGTGTCAGTGGTGTGGTCCCTGGAAGCAGACCACGTAGGGCCTGCCAGGTGTACAGCACACTTATATAATCGACACACACAGAACCACAATGACACGCACAGGGTCATAACTATACACATAGAGTCATGGCAATATGCACAGGGTCATAATGACAAAAACGGAACCACAACAACACAGAGAGCCATTTGCTCGACTCCTCTGGAGATGAACCTCTAAATGCCATTCCTGACAGGCACAGAAAACAGATCAGTGGCTGCAGGGGCTGGGCGTGGTGGGGGGGTTGGATATAGAAAGACCTGAGGGACATCTTGGGGGCCACAGACACCTTCTGTACCTTAATTGTGGTGGTGATTACATGACTATCCATGTTTGTCAAAATTCACAGACCTGCATACCTAAAAAGGGTGAATTTTACAGTACAGAAGTTATAGCTCAATAAATATGATTAGAAAAAGGACACTCACGCTGCTGACCACGGCCCTCTCCTCGTCGGCACATGCACGGAGCAGGGCTCTGAGGAGGAGTTCCAGGTGCTGCGTGACGTGGTCTTCTGCGTGAAGCAGGAGCACTGCTAGCAGCTGCGCGGACTTCACCCTGGTCCCCGGCACCCAGTCGGTGATGTCATGACAGATGGCGGGAAGGATCTTGGAGAGGTTTCTGAAGACGAGCTCCCGACAGCCCAACACCGGGCGATTCTCTAGGGGATCATAAAGATCAAAAATAAACTGTGAAACTCACAAATAAAATCCCAATGATGCGTATGGAAAGTAACTTACCATACGTTCCTTAAGGTACACCTACAAGTTTTATTTTGAGGTCTTAAAAATTCAAGACAACTCTGGAAACAGAAATGAAGCATTCAAGTGCCATAATTTACTTAAAATTTTTTTTACAGCAATATTGAGGAGTGACACACAATAAACGACACGTCCTGCAAGTGCACAATTTGATCAGTTTTAGCATCCAGACACACCTGCAAACCATCACTGCAATCAAGATAATAAATGCACCCATCACCCCAAGTTTCCTGGGCCCCTTGTAATGACCCCACCCCTCCCCACCCTCACCCCCAGGTAACCACGGGTCTGCTTCCTGTCACTACAGGTGAATTGCAATTTCTAGAATTTTCTAGAAGTGGAATTGTACAGTATATACTCTTTTTTGTCTGGCATCTTTCACTCTGCAAAATTATTTTGAGAGCCATCCACGTGGTGGTTGCATTCTTTCCTTTTTATGGCCCAGCAGCATCCCACCGCATGGAGAGAACACAGGCTTTGTCCATTCATGGGCTGATGGACAGGACAGGAGTCGTCTCCAGTGTCAGGCTGTTAGATAAAGCCTCGATGAACATTCACACTCATGTCTCTGTGCGGATGCTGCTTTCACTTCTCTGGTAAGTCCCCAGGAGTGCAAAGGCTGGATCACTCGGCAGGTGTACATTTAGCTTTTTAAGAACCTGTCAAACGGTTTTCCAAAGTGGCCGCACCATTCGACGTCCACACGAGCTGTGTAGAGGTCCAGCTCCTCCACGTCCTCACCGGTACGTGGTGTTGGTCTTAAATCTAAACCACTCTAAGAGGGTATAGTGATATTTCCTTGTGGTTTTTTTTTTTTTTAAAGATTTATTTTTTTCCCCCCAAAGCCCCAGTAGATGGTTGTATGTCACAGCTGCACATCCTTCCAGTTGCTGTATGTGGGACGTGGCCTCAGCATAGCCGGAGAAGTGGTGTGTCGGTGCGCGCCTGGGATCCGGACCCGGGCCGCCAGCAGCGGAGCGCGAGCACTTAACCGCTCAGCCACGGGGCCGGTCCTCCTTGTGGTTTTAATTCCCATTTTCCTAATGACTAATGACATGCAGCATCTTTTCACGTGCTTATTTGCCATCTCTGTATCTTCGGTGAAGTGTCTTTTCAAATCTTTTCCTGCCCACTAAAAAACTGAATTTTTGTTTTCTTATTGAGTTTTGAGAGCTCTTTCTGTATTCTAGATACAAGTCCTTATATATAATATCTGCAAATATTTTCTCTCAGTCTGTGGCTTGTCTTTTCATTCTCTTAACGTCTTTCAAAGCACAGTTTTTATTTTGGTGACGTTCGTTTATCAACGCATTCTTCTGTGGAGTGTGCTTCTGATGATGTATCTAAGAAAGCTTTGCCTAACCCAAAGTCACAAAGGTTTTGTCCTATAAAGTTTATAGGTTCATGATGCATTTTGGGTTAATTTTTGTGAATTATATGAGGATTGGATCCAAGTTCACCTTTTTGCATATCCAATTATTCCAGCATCATTGGTGGAAAACCATCCTTTCTCCACTAAACTGTCTTTGAACCTTCGTCAAAACTCAGTTGTCCACAGATGTGTGTGTCTATTTCTGGACTTTCTGTACTGTTCCACTGACCTGTCTTTATGCCGATGCCATGCTGTCTTGATCACTGTAGCTTTATGAGTCTTGAAACCAGGAAGTGTTAGTCTTTCAACTTCATTCTTCACTTTCAAAGTTCTGGCTGCTCAAGGTCCTTTGCATTTCCATGTGAATTTTAGAATAAGTTCATCAATTTCCACAAGAAAGCCTTCAAGGATTTTGATCTTAAAAATTCAAAACAATTCTAAAGAGAGAAATAACATCCCCAATGTGTCAGAGTTTAAAGGGTATGTTTTAGTAAAAAGAACAGCTTCTATCATGAGACCCCATTTTCAATTTTTATTCCTGTTACTTTTCTATTTTTATGCTATATCACAGAAATAGTTCCAAATAATTCAAATTCTGTTGGCTATTTAGGTGAGTTTGTTATAATTTTGTAAAAAACAAACAAAAAACCCAAAAAAATAAATACACTTTTCCTCCTGATGACGCATCCACTGTGGAAAGCTTGTGAGATGAGGGGGATATGTAACAGAGAAGGGCTAGGGAGGGATTTGCGAACAGTGGGTACAGAAGCTTTGGCGAAACATGGGCCTGGTGGTATTTTCAAAGAAATACAGGGCCTCTCTGTGTATATGGTTCTGAAGCCTATTTTCCTGCGCTTAATATAGCAAACACATGATTTTCTTCTAGAACCGGGGTCAGCAAACTATGGTTCAGAGGCCACACCTGGCCCCTGCCTGTTTTCTAATGGTATTACTGGAACACCACCGTGCTCACCCATTTACTATTGCCTAGGGCTGCTTCTCATCCCCACAGCAAGCTGGGTAGCTGTGACACACAACATATGGCCTGCAAAGCCTCAGTCACTGTCTGGCCTTTTACAGAAAGTGTGCCAACCCATTGTAGACTCTAGAATTGTGTTTTCCAATATGGGAGCAGCTAGCCACACGTGGCTATTTAAATTTAATGAAGTTTTGTAAAAAACATTTAATGAAGTCCAATTTAAATAAAATTAAAAATTTTGTCCCTCAGTCCCACTAACCACATTTCAAGGGTTCAATAGCCACATGTGGCCAGTGGCTATCGTACTGGACAGCACAAAGAACACGTCCTCACTGCAGACAGTTCTATTGCTCAGCACTGCTCTAGAGAATACTGGAGGACCTAGAGATTACTCAAGAATCTAGAGTGGGATTTTAAACAGCTGCACAGAATAGAGCATTAGAATTTATTGACCCAACTGTTTCCAACTTTTTAATATTACAATTAACACTATGACTAACATCTCTGTATGTAAATCTTTTTATATATTTCTGATAACTTACCTCGGACAAATCCTAAAGATGGAATTGTTGGGTTAATGGCCATGCACACTTAGTGTCCTGAATGCAGGAAGCCTGCACCATCTACCTCCATCTATCTGTATGTCTCCATCTACATGTATTTATATGCCTATAAGCAGGGTATGAACTCAGCAATATTTTTAAAAAAAATTTGGATGGGGAGCTTTTCTTTCCTAAAAAGGTAATACAGGAACAAAGTTAAAAAAAAAAAAAAAAAGAACCCAGTGGTTCAAAAGAGAATGAAGAGCTGAGCAGCAGCTCGGACTCTGGACTAAAGAAGTTAATCATCGCTCAGACCTCAGGGCACTTCCTCGGGATTTCCCTCTGCCCCTACCACAGGATGCTGAGTGCTGAGCCTCATCCACAGCTTCTTGATTCCCTCCCTGGGTGCCCTGGAGATGGTCTGTGTGTGCAGAAGTACACATGTGCACCCACTTTCCCCACACTCCAAAATAACAGCACACGCTTCATCAATGTGGAATATGAAAATCTCCCCGAGCACACACAGGGCTGCTTTGTACTGTGCTGTCAACGCAGTGCCCAGCTGCATTTGCCAGCCCCCGAGGGACACTGAGGGCTTTCGGTCTTATGCTGCCACGACAAGGAGGTCCAGGCACTCTCCTTGCACACACGGTCAGTACAGCTACAGGAGTAATTTCTAATCTTGGTGGAAATTCTGGGTCTAAGGGTATACGTATTTCTTCTTTATTTACATTTAGCATTTTCAACTATTATTTCCCCAAGAAGTCCAAGGCTGTGCTTAGAAACAGAAAGGGGTACAGGGAACCCCAGGCTGAGTTCAACTGCTCAGTTTGTAACGTGAATTCAACAGTGGTACCCAAAAGTTTCCAAAGTAGTAATGCCCAAAATGATCAGTCTGACAGAATTAAACCTTCTCTCTCCCTCTGAGTGCGTGTGTATCCCAAAGTGGCTTCCACATGAATATACAAACGAAGTAAACAGAGCTTGAGGCATAAACAAATAAGGATCTTATCGTGCACTGAAAATCATCCCGGATCAAATTTGGATGTGTGAGAAAAGACTGCTTACAACAATATAGACTCAAGTGGCCCAGAGACTCAGACACAGGGACAAGCCCCAGGCGAGATCCGAGCTGCCCTCTCAGAACCCCCTGTATCTCAGATTCAACTCAGACGTGCATTCAGAACTGCTGCCCCTCTGGCTACTTGCTGTCAACGGTGCCTGTCTTCCCAAGCAGACGGCTCCCCTGCACCTGCAGCCTCGCGGGTGCGGCGCTCCGGGTGAGAGGTGGGCCAGGCCCATCACACTGACAGCTGTCCCCGGAGATCAAGCCCGTGGAGGAGGGAGGGGGTCTGTCCTGCCCCCGTCTTCTGCATCATAGGGCGGGGAGTCCCCAGTTAATGTGTACTGACTGCATAAACAGAGTGCTAACACTGATCCCAGTCTCAGTGGGTTTCTCAAAAACAGCGTTATGGAGGTGTAACTTATCTGTTGAGGAAACCACTCATGAATTCCGTGAGCTGTCAGTTGATTTGCACAGCTGTGCCATCATCCCACAGCCCCGTTCTAAGACCCGTCCATCACCCTAAGGTGCCTGTGCTGTCTGCAGTCAATCCCCACCCCACCCCCAGGGAACCACTAATTTGCTTTCTGTGCCTATAGCTTTGTCTCCTCTAGAGATTTCATAAAAATGAGCTCCCTTCACTCAGTACGATGTCGTGAGACTCATCTGTGTTGTAGCATGCATCACTCCTGTATGTGGCCGAATAACACACCAGATCTATCACATTTGTTCATCGGTTCATCAGCTGATGACATGGCTTTTTCCACTCTGGGGCTATTATGAATAATGCTGCTATGAACACGATACACAGACTCTGGCAAGACACAAGTTTTCATTTCGGTTGAATATTTATCTGGGGGTAGAATGGCTGGATCACATGGTAAGTATAAGTTTGACATTTCAAGCAGTTGTCAAACTGTTTTCCAAAGTGGCCGCACCATTTT